TTATGAATCAGGCTAGTTTCTGTTTTTCTGCAGCTACTTTCTACTTTTTATCATAATAGGATTTCCCCTACTGAGAGTTAGGACATTTGCAAAACCAAGTATTAGAACTAAGTTGGTTATTAACATGAGAAACAAAGCCAATCATAAGAAGCCTTAAATTTATATGATAGAAAGAAAAATGATAGAAAATGATTATTAGAAAAAGTAAGATTTGCAATGAAAATTGTCTCTACATCCAGATGCCAGTTCTCTTTCCCTTAACATGGACATAAAAAAGCTAATGAGGCTGTGAATTCAACTCACCATTCTAAGTTGGGAACCTACCATTAAAAACTTACAACTTGTTGTTCAACTACCTCAGTCCTATAACTGAAAGAGAAACTTTGAGCATGATTATGGAAGTTTCAAGGTGGATCTTTTTTTAAAAAAAGATTTTATTTATTTATTCATGAGTGACATAGAGAGGCAAAGACACAGGCAGAAAGAGAAGCAGGCTGCCTGCGGGGACCCTGATATGGAACTCGATCCCAGGACCCCGGGATCACAACCTGAACCAAAGGCAGACGTTCAACCACTGAGCCACCCAGGTGCCCCTCAAAGTGGATCTTGAGCTGATTGCTTACAGACTTAAAATGGTTTTTTCTCATCACACTGTCTATACTTCAGTCCTTCAAATTTTCAGGCCCTTCCTACTACTGTTCCCCAGCAGCAACAACTTAGTCCCCCTTTCCCTACCTTCAAAGGGAACCTCATTCCAGGACTACTGACTTTTTTTCTACAATTAGCTAACTTCTTGTAATTTTTGCTTAGAGTCTTTTTAGAAGAAATGGATCTTTTGGTTTAAAAGTCCCTATTAACTGCATCCCCAGGTGCATTACTTACCTCATCCCTTCTCTTCCCAGAGGTAATATGACTGTCATGAGTTTGGTATATTTTATAAGGTGATTATTTAATAAACTATTGAAACAGTGCCCTTGCAGGCTGAAAGATTCTCATCCCTGAATACTAACTGGAATTTTACTGTTTCAATCCCAATTAGGGCTGGTAATCAAGCCCAGATTCCCCACTGCACCTACCCCATATCTGTAGATGTCACTTACCTACTTCTCACACATGCGCTAAAGCCCGAAGCAGTTCAGGTCCTTGGTTGCAACCAAGGTTAGCTTGCAGAAAACAAATTGATTGGAAGAAAAATTCAGTAGCTCCCAGAATCTACATAAAATTTAGAGAACCAAAGTCAGAAAATGGGTAGGGACCAAGGGAAGTCAGTCAGTCAGAATCCCATCTGGAATCACACCACAGGGACAGTCTTGGGTGGGTGTTGCTGGTGTCTCTACTCAACACTGAACAATATAAATGGCACCATCACTGGATATCTAATGAAGTACATAATAGCATAATAAAGGGACAGGAAAAAAGAGAATGGATCCAGGCAGCATCAGACAAGTACAGAAGCACACCCATGAACACATCCCACTGCTGTAGAAAGAGACAATAGGAAAGTGGGCTTTGACAGAGATAATGAATCAAAACCCCAACACTCATCACTCTTCTCAGAAGCTCAGGATTCCACAAGAGAGTTTGCTTAGGGTCAAATGCCTACAGTAAAGCTGCACATACTCAAACTACACTGACAATTTCCAGCATTATATCGAAAGCTACTGAAAACTGTGAACTTAGACTGAGCAGGTCCCAACCCATCATCCTCATGCATATCTGAAGAAATGGCCTCTAGGTATTTGTCTGATACCCTCTAAAGTACTGACCTTTAAAATTTGTATCACAATTCATAAAAAATATGCATATTGACATAATTCACTAGCCATACAAATGTGTGGGGGGGTGTCCATGGGTATATTGTACATGCAGGCCACTCTGGTATTTTCTGTTTTATTTTACCTCATTTATTTAAAATGCTGCTTATGATCCACAACATTAAACTCATGCCCCACTATGAATTACAAATCACAGTATGGAAAACACTAATTTTTTTACCATAAAATTCCCGGTGACCAATAAATGCTGCTATAGAAGTACATGCCAATATATGTGAGAACCCTCATTTTGTCTTCACGAAATTCAGTGTTTTCAAGCACAAAAGACATCTTTGATATGAGCCACAGGGCTACAAAAATGTATAGTTGATGAAATATAAGTTCCATCTGCAAAGTTTCACATTAAAATTCAGATACATGAAAAAAATTCAGATACACGGTTTAAAGATTACACTTGTCATGAAGAGCGGCGGGTGATGTATGAAATTGTTGAATCACTATATTGTACACCTGAAACTAAAATAACACTCTGTGTTAACTAATTGGGATTGAAATAAAACTTTAAAACAATTCAGATAACAGTGTCTGCTTTACATATGTCAGAAGTCACTTGGCACCGATGGGAACTCACCAGCGAAAGAGTAATCAGCTACATATGACTTCTTGGATAGTTGGCATCTTGTGGAGAGCTGTGCTTGGGCTGGAGTGCAGCTGAATGCCATACATTGTTGGATTGTAGCTAAGGGACCCCATTTCCCTACTGTGTTCCCACTTTATGAGGCAAGTGTGAGGTTTGCATTGCACATGGTGGGGAATAAATTTGACCTTAAGCACCAAGCAGGTTAAACTTAGATGTCAGCATGTTAGGGGCCTCTGGGAAATGCCACTGCCCTGAATCTGAATTTTGTCCCTCAGTCCCATAGGGATTTAAGTTTGTTCTTAGATTCTCTTGGTTGGATGAAAGGAAGCATCTGGTCTTGTGGGAAGTTGCAACCCTTCTGCAGAAAGAGGGGCTGCTGTGAGTACCAGCTGTAGCTCCTTGTTTAGCAGCCAGAGAGTTTCTGGGTCACCTATCGGGCAATTTTTCTGATCTATACAATGTCTTTTATACTTTCTGTGACATCAAGAGCTACCCACAACCTGTTTCTATCCACATGCAAATACGGGCCTATGAATTCATTCAGTGAGCCAGCGCTTAAAGTCCACAAGAGCAATTCAGAAAGTTAAATACTGGCATCAGGTTGAAGCCTGCCCCCTGAAGTTGGAGTGGAGCAATTCAGAAATCAACAAAGCCCAGGTTTTCATGACCTATAAACTATCCATGCATGGGATGACATGAATTTTGGCATCTGCTAGCTAGGTGTTAAGAGGAGAAGTCACAATCTCTCACTTTATTGTTTGTTACTTCCTGAGTGCACAGCACTAAAAATAGAGATAAGGAGGGTGGGAAAGTAAAATTTGGTAATGATAGTGTCTTTGTTTGAAAAAAAGTATGTGCGTGTGTCTGTGTGTCTCTGTGTATGTATGTGTGTGTGATAGACTAAATAAAAAATTAGGGATTAAGACTGCTCTCATTTTAAAAAGAAGAACAACAACTGCTTTTCAAACAATTTTCAACAAACACACACACACACTCACAGACATGCACACGTACACACAAACACATACCTTTCCCAATACAAGGTATTTCTTTAAGTTAGGCCCAGTTGGATAAAATATATGAGTCAGCTTAAAATATATTCTAATTTAATTTTCAAAAGCTACTTGCTTCTCAGGATCCTCTTCCTCTCCGTCATTTCCATATACTACTTCAAACACTCCACTGATTAGTTATATAGAAGCAAACAATAAGGGAAATCACACACACAACTTCCTAGATACATTTAAGAGTGTATGATTCTATGGTCTTCATCAACATAATTTTGCTATCACAAGAATCTCTTGCCAAGGAAGAAAAAAGTTGAAAATAACTTTATTGCCTATTTCAGGAACTACCTTAAAGATCCATCAGCTCTACAATAAAAAGTACCAAATGACATTTTTCAACCACAGAATTTTGAAAATTTGTCTTACTGTTCTTGCATGGCTGTATCCACTAAACCTAAACCATTCTATCACTCTTATTTTTTTTACATCTTATTTATTTATTCATGAGAGACACAGACAGAGGCAGGGACATAGGCAGAAGCAGAAGCAGATGCACAGTAGGGAGCCCAACGTGAGACTCGATCACAGGACATGGGATCATGCCTGAAGAGAGGGCAGACCCTCAGCCACAGAGCCACCCAGGCGTCCCTCTATAAGTAATATTACCCAATTTTAATCACACACTCCCTCAACACTGAATGACCTTCTCTACACCAACTTCTACATCAGCCATGCCACTGTCAAGACTACTACGGCTCTTGGCAGATAGGGCTTTCCATGACACTTATTCAAAAAACTCAAGTATGCTTGTGCAGTGTTTGCCTGATAAGTGGGAAGTACAATACATGGGGAGCATAATCACTATGCCTAAACACCAAGGTGAGAGTAGCTTAATTCTTAAGGACAAATAGCTACACAACATTCTAAACCATACACACACTGAAGGACGACAGAAGCAAACTGAGAAATTATATACCAATCCACAGATTTAAATGTGCATGAACAAAGCAAAAATTTACATATTAATGTGCTAAGCAGGCAGACAGAGCAAATTCATTAAAGTACCACGGAAAACAGAAAACATAAAAGGAAATGCTTAATCACAGCACATGTAAAAATGTGATTAAAATGTTTTATTTTTTGATGCTTCTATGTATTTATTCATTAGATACACAGAGAAGAGGAGACACAGGAAGGGGGAAGGACAACAGAAACATGCCCTGAGCCTAAGGCAGACGCTCAGACGCTGAGCCTGCCAGGCTTCCCGGGACTATAATGTTTAACACCCATTTCTGTCTCAGCGCTTTCTCTGAGACACACCGTCCACTAAGGGTATGTCGGGGATGCATAGGAGTGATTGGGTGCTTGGAAAAACAGACGCTTCAAGCGTCATTTCTTCACGTCAGCAGACACCGTGCGGCGAGGCTCTGCATCACAGGCGGGAATGCCTCACCCCGGCCTGCACGCACACAATGCTGCGCGCACGCTCACCGCTGGGAGCCACCAGTGCGCGTGCGCCTTGCTCTGAGCAACCGTTGCCGGGCATGCGCATTGCTGCCCGCCATTCCGGGAGCGGTACTGAGATCGACTGGAGAGGGTCGCTTTCTCTCTGTCCTGAGCGTCCTCGCTACCTGACTTGAAGCGGTAGGTCCCCAAATCAGTCCTTCGGGGACCTTAAGTGTGAGCAAGTATGAGGGGAGAGCCGGTGGGCCTCGGGGTGGTCGGGGCAGTAGATCTGTGACGTGCTAACTACATACATGTAGGTTCTGAGGAGCTCTCGCCCTTCTCCTCACAGGCGTCATTGCACTCATCCTCGTGGTCGTGCCCGGGCAGGTGAGGACGGTGGGCTGAGGAGGGGAGACGGAGACGGGGTTCCTTAAGCCTGGGCGGGGGTGGGGGCGAGGCTTGGTCGAGCTATCGGAGTCCCGGCAACACCGGGAACTGCCGGCAGAGCACAGAGGCCGAGGTCCTCGGTGGGACCGTGGGTAGGGAACGGACCGGGCGGTGTAGAAAAGGCCAGGGAACAGGGAAGGCTGTGGGCTCGTAACTGGGTCCCCGACATTGGTAGTACACTGGGCAGAGAGAGGGTCAAGGCTTGCGGGGGGCGGTGGGTCTGTGTTGGGACTAGACAGACACCTGCCTTGACCGTGCCAAGACAGCCATAGGCACTATGCAAAGGACGGTTTCTTTCTCTGTGTTCCAGTAAAGCGGTATTGAAGGGTGGGAAATGAACCTCGTAAACGGGAATGTGATAAAAGCAGCGGTGACTGAGGTTTAAATTTCCGGCAGTGTTCTCTCCAGTGCCTTTAGTGTGGGGGAATCTAGCTGTGAGACTAAGCCTCGTGTTTTCTTTCGCCTGTCCTTAAGGTGATTTCTCGGCCAGCTTGGCTGATGTAGATGATCTTGCAGCCAGTACATTTGGTGTGACCACAGCGTGTACTGTATACTTACCCTTGGTTGGTTTTGAATGTATTTTCGAAGGAAAGATATCAAAACGTTTGGCCTTGGAAGTGGTATACCTCTCCGTTAGAGTATGTTTCCCAAATACCAAGATTCTACTTTCAGGGTGAAACATGAGTGGCCGTGTGAGATCCAGATCCAGATCCAAACAAGGAAGAGAGGATCGAGGATCTGCCCAGCCAGCTGCGGGTGTGGTTGTGAGTACTGCCATATTTGATGTTTCCCATTACCACACATCGCATTCTCTGGAAATTTTGATGAGCTACAAACGTACCGATACAGCGATAAGAGCTCCTCGGCTGATAAAGGGAGGGAGACTCTGAACCCGAAGGATTCCATATTTGTGCTGCCCGTGGTGGAAATACACGCTGTGACTTCTTGGTCATGTTTATTAACAACAGATTGCACCTGTCCGCCCCAGCAGAGTTTACAGTAGCCTCCGAAGTGGTTGGGGGTACCTCTTCTTGAGTACCCGCTGTGTGGGAAGAGAAACTTTTAAGAATAAGTCTAGAGAATCGTGTCTGGGGACTGCCTTTATACTTACTCATTATCTGCCCTAAAAGTGTGTAATGTATATTTTATACTGTTGGCATGTGTTAACGACACAACTATTTATTTGTATGCAGACACCGCCCCCCACACAGGCCGAGCAGCTGAAACCAAAGGAGAAACCAACTAAGACTCAGGATATTATACCTGATCAAGGGAAAGAAGTTGAAGGAGCACCTGTTATTCAAGGTGAAGGGAAAGGGAAGAACAGTGCTTATGGGGGCGGGGCGTGTATGTGTGCATCATGCATTATGACATAACCAGGCCAGGAGGAAGGAAAACATTCCAGGAGAACCTCGGTCATTTCCGAAAAAATGGATTGAAATGGGAAGAGGAGAGTACGGTTTACAGCTTCATGCAGTCCTTCCCGGTACTGAATTTCCCCTTCGTCCTCAAGATTTGATCAGTGTCCTTGAAAACAGTCTTCTAAATTACAGGACACTGTTTAACTACAAAGGCATACATCGATTCACTAGTCTAATTTGTTCCTAGAACATTCTGAGGTGCCCTTTTCATTCATTTCATCGAAAGCATAAGCAGCTTTTAACAGTATGTGCGGAGTGCCAAGTCAACATACCTTCTAACATGTGGAGCTAAACCGATTTGCTTTAGGGATGGTAGCTCCATTTGAAAAAGGAGAAAACGAAGGCTCGGGGACTGTGCTTTGCTAAAGACTGCTTGGCACACGGAGACATAATTCAGATTACATTACGGGGTTTGTGTTCCTGGGGGACCCGGCTAGCTCAGTCGGTAGAGCATGTGACTCTTGAACCCGGGGTCGAGAGCTGAAGCCCCACATTGGGTGTAGAGATTACTTAAAAGAAGAATTCATATTGTGGTTGTACTTCTTTTTTTTTTTTAAAGTCTCAATACTTTTGAATTTTATTTTATTTTTTTATAAATTAATTTTTATTGGTGTTCAATTTACCAACATACAGAATAACACCCAGTGCTCATCCCGTCAAGTGTCCCCCTCCGTGCCCGTCACCCATTCACCCCCACCCCCCGCCCTCCTCCCCTTCCACCACCCCTAGTTCGTTTCCCAGAGTTAGGAGTCTTTATGTTCTGTGTCCCTTTCTGATATCTCCCACACATTTCTTCTCCCTTCCCTTATATTCCCCTTCACTATTATTCATATTCCCCAAATGAGTGAGAACATACACTGTTTGTCCTTCTCCGATTGACTTACTTCACTCAGCATAATACCCTCCAGTTCCATCCACGTTGAAGCAAATGGTGGGTATTTGTTGTTTCTAATGGCTGAGTAATATTCCATTGTATACATAAACCACATCTTCTTTATCCATTCATCTTTCGATGGACACCGAGGCTCCTTCCACAGTTTGGCTATTGTGGACATGGCTGCTAGAAACATCGGGGTGCAGGTGCCCCGGCGTTTCATTGCATCTGAATCTTCGGGGTAAATCCCTAACAGTGCAATTGCTGGGTCGTAGGGCAGGTCTATTTTTAATTCTTTGAGGAACCTCCACACAGTTTTCCAGAGTGGCTGCACCAGTTCACATTCTCACCAACAGTGTAAGAGGGTTCCCTTTTCTCCACATCCTCTCCAACATTTGTTGTTTCCTGCCTTATTAATTTTCCCCATTCTCACTGGTGTGAGGTGGTATCTCATTGTGGTTTTGATTTGTATTTCCCTGATGGCAAGTGATGCAGAGCATTTTCTCATGTGCATGTTGGCCATGTCTATGTCTTCCTCTGTGAGATTTCTCTTCATGTCTTTTACCCATTTCATGATTGGATTGTTTGTTTCTTTGGTGTTGAGTTTAATAAGTTCTTTATAGATCTTGGAAACTAGCCCTTTATCTGATACGTCATTTGCAAATATCTTCTCCCATTCTGTAGGTTGTCTTTGAGTTTTGTTGACTGTATCCTTTGCTGTGCAAAAGCTTCTTATCTTGATGAAGTCCCAATAGTTCATTTTTGCTTTTGTTTCTTTTGTTTTCGTGGATGTATCTTGCAAGAAGTTACTGTGGCCAAGTTCAAAAAGGGTGTTGCCTGTGTTCTCCTCTAGGATTTTGATGGAGTCTTGTCTCACATTTAAATCTTTCATCCATTTTGAGTTTATCTTTGTGTATGGTGCAAGAGAGTGGTCTAGTTTCATTCTTCTGCATGTGGATGTCCAGTTTTCCCAGCACCATTTATTGAAGAGACTGTCTTTCTTCCAGTGGATCGTCTTTCCACAATCAATGTGATTCATCATATCAGTAAGAGAAAAACCAAGAACCATATGATCCTCTCATTAGATGCAGAGAAAGCATTTGACAAAATACAGCATCCATTCCTGATCAAAACTCTTCAGAGTGTAGGGATAGAGGGAACTTTCCTCGATATCTTAAAAGCCATCTACGAAAAGCCCACAGGAAATATCATTCTCAATGGGGAAGCACTGGGAGCCTTTCCCCTAAGATCAGGAACCATACAGGGATGTCCACTCTCACCACTGCTATTCAACATAGTATTGGAAGTCCTAGCCTCAGCAATCAGACAACAAAAAGACATTAAAGGCATTCAAATTGGCAAAGAAGAAGTCAAACTCTCCCTCTTCGCCGATGACATGATACTCTACATAGAAAACCCAAAAGCCTCCACCCCAAGATTGCTAGAACTCATACAGCAATTTGGTAGCGTGGCAGGATACAAAATCAATGCCCAGAAATCAATGGCATTCTTATACACTAACAATGAGACTGAAGAAAGAGAAATTAAGGAGTCAATCCCATTTACAATTGCACCCAAAAGCATAAGATACCTAGGAATAAACCTAACCAAAGAGGTAAAGGATCTATACCCTAAAAACTATAGAACACTTCTGAAAGAAATTGAGGAAGACACAAAGAGATGGAAAAATATTCCATGCTCATGGATTGGCAGAATTAATATTGTGAAAATGTCAATGTTACCCAGGGCAATTTACACGTATAATGCAATCCCTATCAAAATACCATGGACTTTCTTCAGAGACTTAGAACAAATTATTTTAAGATTTGTGTGGAATCAGAAAAGACCCCAAACAGCCAGGGGAATTTTAAAAAAAAGAAAACCATATCTGGGGGCATCGCAATGCCAGATTTCAGGTTGTACTACAAAGCTGTGTTCATCAAGGCAGTGTGGTACTGGCACAAAAACAGACATATAGATCAATGGAACAGAACAGAGAACCCAGAAGTGGACCCTGAACTTTATGCTCAACTAATATGCGATAAAGGAGGAAAGACGATCCACTAGAAGAAAGACAGTCTCTTCAATAAATGGTGCTGGGAAAATTGGACATCCACATGCAGAAGAATGAAACTGGACCACTCTCTTGCACCATACACAAAGATAAACTCAAAATAGATGAAAGATCTAAATGTGAGACAAGATTCCATCAAAATCCCAGAGGAGAACTCAGGCAACACCCTTTTTGAACTTGGCCACAGTAACCGGAGAAGGACAAACGGTGTATGTTCTCATTCATTTGGGGAATATGAATAATAGCGAAAGGGAATATAAGGGAAGGGAGAAGAAATGTGTGAGAAATATCAGAAAGGGAGACAGAACATAAAGACTTCTAACTCTGGGAAATGAACTAGGGGTGGTGGAGGGGGAGGAGGGTGGGGGGTGGGGGTGAATGGGTGACGGGCACTGGGGGGTACACTTGACGGGATGAGCACTGGGTGTTATTCTGTATGTTGGTAAATTGAACACTAATAAAAATTAATTTATAAAAAAAATAAAAATAAAAATAAAAATAAAAATAAAAAAAAAATAAAAAAAAAAAAAAAAAAAAGAAAAGACCCCGAATAGCCAGGGGAATTTTAAAAAAGAAAACCATAGCTGGGGGCATCACAATGCCAGATTTCAGGTTGTACTACAAAGCTGTGGTCATCAAGACAGTGTGGTACTGGCACAAAAACAGACACATAGACCAATGGAACAGAATAGAGAATCCAGAAATGGACCCTGAACTTTATGTGGTTGTACTTCTCTAAAAACTTTTTTTCTTTTTTAAAGATTTGTGCCCTTCCTACCACCTGTGCTGTCGTACAAACAAGTGAGCTGTTTTGTATGAAACGCTTACTACTCAGATGTGCCTGTACTGTAAATTACCTTAATACTGGCACAGGAATAAATCCAGTTCAGTGGAGCAAGAGAGAGATTCCAGAAAAAGAGATTCAATCAGGGATGGCCACTAGTTGATTCATCGTTTGATACGGTTTGTTTGGTCAGAGCTGGCTCATTCAGGAAAGTGGCATCAGGGTCACTATATTAGTATGATTTTTAAGCAGCTTTAAAAGGTGTTTAGATATTTGTAGGCTTAGGAAAACCCAAAGTATCCTAAAATGAACATGAAACAAGAAATGAATCTCTTCCAAATACAGCGTTTTCATCAAATACATGTAGTGAATTATTGACATCATTCAGGCCATGGGTTATTTGAGGAATTCGATGTTAAGAGGTTTCTACAGTACAACTAACAACAAAGTCCATCAAATTCTTTCAGTCCGATTTCCTTTATTCTCACAGCAAGGGAGAAGTGTTACTGTTCATGATGAACATTTTCCCCCTCTCTTAAGAAACTCTTCTATACGTGACTCCTTTATCGTAAGTTACATAGAGGGACTTTGCGCTCTTAACTACTTAAATTTGACAAAATAACTTGCAGGTCGTTCCAATAGGGAGTGGGTGTCACTGGTACAGGGTTTGTTACAGGCCCACAAATGCACTCACAGCTAATCCTTCAGAAAATGACATTTTACTCTTAATGAAACTTTATGCGTGGTGTAGACCTGATTTCTTAAATAGCTGATGTTCTATTCTTAGTACACTATGGTAATAAAAAGGACATGCAGTGCATCGGGCTTTCTCTTTAGATGAAAGCGTTTTTTGTAATACAGGAACACGAAGATATGAAAGCCATTTTCCCATCACATTTCTTTTATCACACTAGCCTATCGGCTTTTATTTATTGATATTTTACAAGTCGATTTACCTTTGTTTTCTAAGGATCTGAGCCGGAAGCCGATGTCCAGGAACTGCTCGAGACCAAAGCGGGGGACATCACTGAAGTCGACCCTGATGTCAAGGGGACAAGTCTGCCAACTGTGGAGCCCAGTAAAATGCCGGAAGCAGGTATGTTATCCATTGACAACGCAGATCAGGAGGGTCTTTTCCTGAATATTACATCTTTCATTATGTACATCTCAATTTAGTGATCCACGAATAACAGAGTTTACGTATGAAGATACTTTCACAAGTAGTTCAAACCCTACCGTCCTGATGGCTTTACACACTGCTAGATACAGAAACAAATTGGGTCAAAGCCTTACTAAATCATAACTACAAAAGCATTTTTTTAGTATAAATACTTCAACAAACAGCTAATAATATTCACATCCTTCTGTAAGTTCTGTCTTTATTACATGCAAAATGCGTTTGGAATAAATAGTAGGTTGTATAAAACATGCTGAGGCACTGAAGTAGGTTCTGTGATGAGCTTTAATATAACTCGTGTGATTCTGGGAGATTCCCTTAATTTCTGAACCTATATACACCTATACCTATATATATATATATAAGTGTATGTATGTATGTATGTATACATATGTAGTGAATTCATATCAGATCTATTGTACTCATTTTTAATGCTGATGTTTGTAGTCTGTGGTTCTGTTGATTACCATACAGAGATACAAAGATGTTCCACTTGCATGATTTATTTATCATCAGATAACATCTTCCTTAAATTTTAACATCTGAATTGAGACTTGACTGCCACTAAGAACAGCAAACCACGCTGCTTGATGTTTGTTTTTCCCTATGGAGACCTGGGTACTTATTATTTCCTTTTCACCCAAATTTTTACTTAATAATTCTAGTTAGTTAACATATAGTGTAACTTTGGCTTCTTGGGAGTAGAATTTAGTGATTCATCACTTACATATAACACCCAGTGCTCATCAGAACAAGTGCCCTCCTTAATACCCGTCAGTCATTTAGCCCATCTCAACTCCTCCATCAACCCTCAATTAGATCGCTGTCATTAAGCCTCTCGTGGTTTGCTTCCCTCTCTCTCTTTTTTTTTTTCCCCTTCCCATACGTTCATCTCTTCTGTTTCTTAAATTCCACCGAAGAGTGAAATCATATGTGTCTTGTCTGGCTCATTTCACTTAGCATAATATGCTCTAGTTCCATCCACTTCGTTGCATATGGCAAGATTTCATTCATTTTGACGGCTGAGAAATCATATGTATTTCCACATATAATTCCATATAATTCCATATATATGTGAAAGGTTTCTCAGCCGTCAAAATGAACATACATGCTATACACACACAAACACTCCACCTCTTTTATCTCCGTTTACCAGGCAGTGGACATTTGGGGTCTTTCCATACTTGGACTATTGTTGATAATGCTGCTGTAAGTATTGGGGTGCATGTACCCCTTTGAATCTTGAGTATCTGTGTCCCTTGGGTAAATACCCCATAGTGCAACTGCCGGGTCATAATACAGTATTTCTGTTTCTAACTTGTTCAGGGACCTCCATACTCTTTTTCAGAGCGGCTATACCAGTTTGCGTTTGCACCAACAGTACAAGAGGGTTCTCCTTTCTCCACATCCTGGCCAACATCTGTTGTTTCCTGTGTTGTTAATTTTACTCATTCTGGTGGGTGTGAAGTGTGTGACTATATAACCCATTAGACAAACTGGAACGCTGTCAAGGCCAGGGGTTACCCCCACTTAATCAGTGACATAAGGGACAACCTAGCTGAAAGAAGCAGTTTTCCACTTAACCATAACAGAAAAATATACATGTAGTACTAGTCTCTCTAATAACATCACTTAAGCGGTAACAAACTTGGCATTATTGCTTCAGCTTTCATATGTTCGGGATATTATTTCAATTTGAAGCGTTTACATGATAGTCGTAAAACTGTTTTTCGGTTTTTTGCATGTTTGCAATGTTTTGTAAAACCACAATCAGATTTTGCTTGCTTTCCATTTAAAACTACCTTTTAACAGGCTCGTTTCATTTTGTGTGTTCTGAGCTTCAACTGTCTTTTTGTTTCCTTGCACCAAGAGAAAGTGTGGTGTGTTCAAAACATATTGGTAAAATACATGCTTGGAATTCTCTTATACAATTAAAACTAGAGTGTCTTTCGTGTACTATTAATTTGCTCTAAATGCAGTTTTGCTGAGTAATGTGTCCTACTGTTTGTCTATCTTACAGGTGAAGGACAGCCCCAGATTTAAACGAGGACAGGCTGAAACCATGCAGACTCCACTTGTGTAGGGTCCTTCAGTGTTGGAATTCTCTCAATAAAGTTTTCCAAACTTCTCTCGAGAGAATCTTTGACATCTGTTGTTAAACATTATCGTAAGTTAAGAGGCGCGTGGGTGGCTCAGTCAGTTAAGCAGCTGATTCTTGGTTTCAGCTCAAGTCATGATCTCATGGGCCCTGGGATGAAGTCCGTGGCTGGGCTCATGCTCTGTGGGGAGTCTACTTGAAAGATTCTCTCCCCCTGCCCCTTGTCACGCACATTCTCTCTCTCTCTCTCTCTCACTCTCTCTCTCTCTCTCTCTCTCTCTGACAAATAGATCCATAAGTCTTTAAAGAAAAACTTAGTAGGGCCCTTGGGAGGCTCAGTGGTTGAGCATCTGCCTTTGGCTCAGGTCATGATCCTGGGGTCCTGGATCAATACCAACAGTTTGTTTCTGTCATTTTAAACGTTATCCGTTTTCTGGTGTGTGTGTTTTTTTTTTTTTGTTAATCACATTACAGCTTTGGAAGACCCTTCCAGTACAATGTTGAAAAGAACTGGTAACAACGGACAGCCTTGTCTTCCTCCAGATAGGAATTGGAATTAGAAAAATTTTACGATTTTACTATATTTACTGTGAAGTAAAGGAAGTTCCATGCTTATTTTCATTTCCTAAGAATATTTCTATTGAATATATGTTGCCTTTCATCAAACACTTACAGTACCTTTATTCAGGTGATCAGAGGATTTTTACCTTCATTGATCTGCTAATGTGATAAATTACATACATATTGTCTTATGTTTAAGCCAACCATACATTACTGGGAGGGGCTGGCCATGATATCTTTCTGAATAATCCACATTTGAATAATCTGTTTAGAATTTTTGTGACTGTCCCCATGAATGTCATTAGCGTGTACTTTTATATACTGTTTTGGATTTTGGTATCAAGGATATACTAGCTTCCATAAATGAATTGCTATATAAAACTCTTCTTTCTGTTGTCTGCAACTGAAGACCCTGAAAGTCTGTGAGCAATGTAGGACTAGACTTTCCCATGTTCAGCTGTGTCTGGATTGTGTCTCTTCTCTGGACTTGGACCCTTCCTAGATGGCAGGTGACTGAAGGGGCACCTCCAGGTTCCTATCCTTTCAAATTTTGTGAGGTGCCCATCTTCCCTGCAAGACACCTCTAATGATGCCGTCACTCCCAAAAGCGACCTGCTCCAGTTTCTGAACGGTTACTAGTTTTCTATACCCAGAGAGTTAAAAGTCATGGCTCTGTTAACTAGATTATTTTGATCTGTGCTGTATAATCAATAGCTGGCCAACCGTGACTTGCATACAGTTCATGACAATAGATCCTTCCTTTCTCTTAAGATTTTATTTATTTATTCATGAGCGACAGAGAGGCAGAGGCATAGGCATAGGCAGAGGGAAGAAGCTGGCTCTCCCCAGGGAGCCCGATACGGAACTCCATCCCAGGACCCCAGGATCATGACTTGAGCCAAAGGCGGACAGACGTAGACGCTCAACCACTGAGCCACTCAGGTTCCCCGGCAATAGATCCTTCTGTTGAGCTTCTCTAATAACCAGATTTAGTGTTAAAACTCCTATTTATAGGGTGAGTACTATATGTTAGCCACTTCTTTCTCCTGGGTTCGATGCATCTGTACTCTCATTGAATCTTCACAAAAAGGTGTGTCACAGTATACCCAAAACTTACATCTGACTCTAATAAGATTTTGGCATTTGGTTCTAAGTTAGAAGCCCTTGCTCTTTCTTAAAGAAAATATTTCTGAAAATGCTGGCCCGGAAAACTGACAGTGTACATGATGATTACACTGGTAACCTGACGTTTACATTAAAAACTTATGCTAATTTCTTTTTATTGGTCAAGGTGAAAGGGTTTTGTTTTGTTTTGTTTTGTTTTGTGGTGTTTTTTTTGACATGAAGGGTTTTATCCTTCTTTTGGAGGAAAGGTTTCCCAAAATACGATAACAGATGTCACATGGGTTTTCAGATGAAATTGTTGATACAGAAATAACCACTTAGATTTTTTTTAAGTATGAGATCAGATAATATAAGCATTTAAAATTTTGAGATACTAACAATCATCTTCCTGTGCCATAGAAAGATACAACTCCAAGACGATAGCTATTTGGAACAGTCTATACAGAGATAACTGATGTTACAAGCCCTATGGCAAAAGAAAAAAGAAAAAAAACCCACAAAAGGAAGCTGTGTTGATGAATTCCCAATACTTTAGTTTTGCTTTTTGTTTCCTTTGCCTCGGAAGACATAAGTAGAGAGGATTTGCTACGGCTGCCATCAAAGAGGTTGCCTTCTCCTCTAGGATTTTTATGGCTTGGGTCTCACATTTAGGGCTTTGATATATTATTAATTTTTTTATGTAGTATCTTTACTCATGGTGTAAGAAAGTGGTCCAGTTTCATTCCTTTGCATGTTGCTATTCAGTTTTCCCAACAGCATTTGCTTTTTTTGTCTTTTTGATTTTAAAGATTTTATTTCTCTATTCATGTGAGACAGACAGAGAGAGAGAGAGAGAGAGGCAGAGACACAGGCAGAGGGAGAAGGAGGCTCCATGCAGGGAGCCCCATGCGGGACTGGATCCCGGGACTGCGGGATCATGGCCCTGAGCCTAAGGCAGACGCTCAGACGCTGAGCCTGCCAGGCTTCCCGGGACTATAATGTTTAACACCCATTTCTGTCTCAGCGCTTTCTCTGAGACACACCGTCCACTAAGGGTATGTCGGGGATGCATAGGAGTGATTGGGTGCTTGGACACCGAGGCTTCTTCCACAGTTTGGCTATTGTGGACATTGCTGCTATAAACATCGGGGTGCAGGTGTCCCGGCATTTCATTGCATCTGTAACTTTGGGGTAAATCTCCAGCAGTGCAATTGCTGGGTAGTAGGGCAGATCTGTTTTTAACACTTTGAGGAACTTCCACACAGTTTTCCAGAGTGGCTGCACCAGTTCACATTCCCACCAACAGTGTTAGAGGGTTCCCCTTTCTCCACATCCTCTCCAACATTTGTGGTTTCCTGCCTTGTTAATTTCCCCCCTTCTCACTGGTGTGAGGTGGTATCTCACTGTGGTTTTGATTTGTATTTCCCTGATGGCAAGTGATGCAAAGCATTTTCTCATGTGCTTGTTGGCCGTGTCTATGTCTTCCTCTGTGAGATTTCTCTTCATGTCTTTTGCCCATTTCATGATTGGATTGTTTGTTTCTTTGGTGTTGAGTTTAATAAGTTCTTTAAGATTTTGGAAACTAGCCCTTTATGTGATATGTTATTTGCAAATATTTTCTCCCATTCTGTAGGTTGTTTACCCCAAAGATTCAGATGCAATGAAACGCCGGGACACCTGCACCCCGATGTTTCTAGCAGCAATGTCCACAGTAGCCAAACTGTGGAAGGAGCCTCGGTGACCATTGAAAGATGAATAGATAAAGAAGATGTGGTTTATGTATACAATGGAATATTACTCAGCCATTAGAAACGACAAGTACCCACCATTTGCTTCAACGTGGATGGAACTGGAGGGTATTATGCTGAGTGAAGTAAGTCAATCGGAGAAGGACAAACAGTGTATGTTCTCATTCATTTGGGGAATATAAATAATAGTGAAAGGGAATATAAGGGAAGGGAGAAGAAATGTGTGGGAAATATCAGAAAGGGAGACAGAACATAAAGACTCCTAAGTCTGGGAAACGAACTAGGGGTGGTGGAAGGGGAGGAGGGCAGGGGGTGGGGGTGAATGGGTGACGGGCACTGAGGGGGACACTTGACGGGATGAGCACTGGGTGTTATTCTATATGTTGGTAAATTGAACACCAATAAAAATTAATTTATTAAAAAATAAATAAATAAAACCTAAAGAGAAATCAGTAAAAAAAAATAATAATGAATCTCCTGAAAAAGAGACAAAGAACAAACCTTGAAAGCAGAAAACACACATATTTTCTACAAATGAAGAAGAGTAAGAGTTGAATTCTCATCACAAACTCTGTTGTGGGTTTAATTGTGTCCTACCCCCAAATATGATGAAGTCCTAAATGTAGTAGCTGTGAAGGAATATGACCTTATTCAGAAACAGAGTCTTTGCAGATGTAACCAAATTAACATGAGGTCATACTCAATTAGGGTGAGCCCTAATCCAATATGACTGGTATCCTTTATAAAAAGAAAAAACAAAGACTCACTGGGAGAATACCCTATGAGAAGAAAGCCAGAGATTGCAGTGATGCAGCTGCAAGCCAACGAAAACAGACTGTTACCACCATCAGAATCCATGAAGAAGCAAGAAAGGATTCTATCCCAAGTCTCATAGTAAGTATGGCTTTACTGACACCTTGATTTTTCTAACTTCAGAACAGTGAAAGAATAATTTTCTGTTGTTCAAAGCCACCCACTTTGTGTTACTTTTTTCCAGTAGCCTTAGAAAATTAATACACCATGCAAGCAAAGAGACATTGGAGTGACATCTATAAGTATTGAAAGAAAAAAATCCAACCAAAAATTCTATATCTCACCAAATATTTTTCAAAATTGAAAAAGAATTAACATTCTCAGATAAAAATCTGCTGAAATCCATTGTCTACAGATTTACCATACAAGAAATATTAATAAAGTTATTAGGGCAGAAGGAATATAATACAGGTCTGTAAATTTGATCTACACAAAGAAATGAAGAGCATAAGAAATGGAATAAGTGAATATGACATATAATATTTTCTTTGCATGAACTAAAGCATAATATAATTTTTTAAAGCAAAAATGGTAGCAATGTACTGGTTGCTTATAACATATATAGATGTGAAATGTATGACAGCAATGTTGGAAGGATAAGAAGAAAATCCTTTCACTATCTGCAAGTGGCATATTATTTAAGCATGGGCTCAGTTTATTTAACAATGTGTATCATAAATTCTGGAGTAACCTCCAAAACAGTTTTTAAAAGAGGAATAAATAATTCAATTTAAGTCATGAAATGGAAGAGTATAAAAGGCATGATTAAAATCAAAAGGAGATCTTGGAAA